AGGCGTGGCATCCCGAAGCAGTGATGCGTCACTGTGGGCGACTTTTTCCGGAGCCTTTCTACGCCAAAGTGCGCCGTCGGCCTGGCACCAGAAGCGCTCCGGAGTTAACGAGCAAAAGAAGTGCTTTTGAAATACCTCACGACAGTTTGCGAAAACAAACAGTGAACGATCTATTGATCATCCGTTGGTTTTGTGGAATGTTTTTGAATTGGGATGGTTGGATGCCATGTGCAGACGGGACAGATATTTCTGTCCCGACAAACTGACGAATCCAGAGCACAGCTAAAATCGCCCTGCATTGAGAGCTTAAGTCAGCCAAGCAATCGAGTCTCCTCCCGCACCTGTCTCTCCTGCGCCATGGCTCGTGTCGCTGCTTTGTGCATCTTGGCTGCTGCAGCTTAGCTACAGAGAGTTCATGACGACTTGTTCAGATGCTTCCCTTAGAATTCATATACGATACTGTATATATATATATTACCGTGTATATTTATGGGCATTTAGAGAAAACAATCGGTATATATTAATATATATATATACGCACACTCTCTCTCTCTCTATATATATGTATACCTACATGTCTTGCGACTTGTTTCTCCATGGGACCTTTGTAACGCCTGGAATCCTCCTCAGCCTGACAGCTCAGGCCCTCTGCATGCTCCGAAACATCGCCTTTGTCTCAGCGCCTGCGCGCACCACCGCAGACCCCGCAGTGGCAGCTGGCGCAGCGGTGTTGGCCACCGTGCCAATGGGAGCAGATGCCTTCGTCTTCAAGGGCCACCTGTTTCACAGGAAGAGCACGTGTCGACGATGAACTAAATTGCAAAACAGCCACAGAAGAGACGAGCATTTCTTTTGAATCGAGATGACTTGAACAAGGCCAGCACTGGCCAGACTGAGGAAAGTTACCGCAAGTGTTTTGGGCCTGCCTCTATATAGATCAGTACAAAGAAGTCTTCACTGTGTTCTGATTGGTTCTGAAGTGAGTGGTGTTCAACGTTATACTACTTTTGATATCTTATCATTATTTACGTGACGTGTCAAGCGAGCACAATCATCCACATTCATCCACAATAGATGCGAGTTTAAAGATCACGATCTGATGACGGCAGAGAGGGACAGAGAGACAGGATACGCAAGTTTCCACTGAGGGAAAGAGTACTTTGACGTCTTCTATGGCATCTTGGCATGACCAATGGATTTCCGACTCGCCCCTCAAACCACCACTAGTTATGAGCAAGATCCCTGTTTGGATTTGCACGCTGGCGACAAACATAATTCCTCACAAAGCAAGTCTTGTGCCCAGAATGATTGCTTTAGAAAGCGGTCGGGCATCACAGCTGAGACATGTTGAGACCTACAACATCCTACAACTACAACCCGTCCGGGTTGTAGCACCTGCGCTCATCGGCCGCAGCCGCTGAAATCGATGGCCTGTGAGGCGTTTTATCTTGGCCTCTGAGGCATTGAGCCTTTGGCCTGGGCCTTCTGTGGCTTCGTCATTGTCTACTATGGAGCCGTGGTGAAGAA